GGATGTTCGCCAGAGTTAGCATCTGGGCAAGTGTGTCATACCGCAGGTGGCTGCGGCACATGGAAACATTTGTTTCATGTAGACATCTTACAGCTATTTAAAGAAAACACACTTACTCATAATTCACGTGCTGACTCACCAGATCTTCCCTGGTTCGCGGCCGTGGTACATCATAGCCAGGATGCGACAGGACGGTTTTAGAATCATCACCGTATTTTCATACCTGCAAAAGACGGGAACAACCGATAACACTAATTAAAACACAGCTCGTTAAATAACAGTCCAGAACAGGCTGTGGCTGTATCATATAAGTGACTCACTTTTTCTTCTTCTTCTTGATGTATTTAACCTGGGAATACTCAGTCTTATCTCCGAAAGTGGCGTGGTTATCTACGAGCTTCTTAATGATGTCCTGTGATGACCAAACACACATACAGTCGCTCGTCTCACTTTATGTTGGATTACAGCAATTTAATTAAATCCTAAAAACACAATGTTCCCACGAAAAGACAAAAACACAATGTGTTCTGTCTCTTTATTTTCCTACAACTTTGCTATCATGTATGCGGCACTCAACACCAAGCCTGTTGGTTCCCATTTAAGATGTGCAACCACTAAAATCTATTTTAAATAAATATGTCATATGTTTAACTGCTTGTTTACACAAGTCTCTAAAGCAGTAACTCATTTAGATGTGTACTGTGCTAAAGTCTTATGCCACCCCCTATTTCTTTACATTGTGCTAGGAAAACGGGGGAAAAGGTGCAGCACTTTATTGAAAAATCTTCAAGCATACATGAAAATACTATATATATAAATCAGAAATCGACAATTCTAATGACCAGCCTCAACTCTCTTAGGCAGCTTTCTTGCAATGTCTTTAAGTAGTCTTCAGGAACAGTTCTCCAGGCGTCTTGAAGGACATTCAAAGCTTTTCTTTGGACCTTGACTGCCCTTTGTCCCCTTGTCTGTCATGATGATCCCACACCAACAAAGTTGAGGTCCAGGCCATGACTGATAGTCTTCCATTCTTTGCATTTCTATCCAGGTTACTTCACTGGCACTATGTTTGGGATCCTTATCAAAATGAAGCTGCTGCAAATCAGATGTTTTCCAGGTGGTAATAGATGGTGGATCAATATCTGATAGTAATTTTCTGTGTTCCTAATTCCATCAGTTTTGCCAAGATCCTCAACACTACTGGCTGAAATGCAGTCCCAAACCATGACAGAGCCTCCACTGTGTTTTACAGATGGCCATAAACACTCCGTGCTGTACCACTCACCTGATCTATTCTGTTCTTATTTAGGAATATCAGGATTCATCGTTCCATGAGACTTATCGCCATGGATTCTCAGTGCAGTTCTTCTGTAATTTGGCATTCACAAATTAGAAGTGGACTTGTGAGATTTCGTTAAGGAAGTATTTCCTTCTGTAAAAATAGCTGCTGTTCCACTGAGATCATTTCTGATGAGGCTTCAGTAAACAGTGAAAGGATCAGCTGAATGGCCAAATGAATCTCTCAGGTCCCGTGTCATGACTTTACAGGATTTGTTCCCATTTCTTTATGACATGACTTTCACATAATGTTCATTGGCTTTAGATAGTTTTTCAGGTCTGCCTAGCTCTTAAGGCATCCCCTTGTTGGTGCAAAAGTACTATTATCAGTATTAACCGAGTTACCTTCTGTATTTTTCATATATTCAATTAAAGTCATCAATTAGAGATACTCGTCAACATTGGTTTTCGATCCAATTTGCAATGAAAAAAAAAAGTATTTTTTTACCATCACTCTGTAAGATAACAACTATAGGCAGTACTCTGACACATTTAAATGTGAAATTGTAAAGTTTCACATGTACCTGACCCTTCAGACCTTTCTCTTTAAGAGCCTCAATGTCATCCCTGGTCAGCTTCTGTGATTTGCCATCGTCAACAATGTTTCTGTTGTCTGTACCTGCCTCCACTGCATCTGGGAGGCACAAACAAGCACACAAAGACACTACTGTAAGTAAAAGGTTATAGAAAGTCTATGACATATTTATTTGGGTATAGAAGGTGGTCGTCACAAGTCCAAATGCAACTGGTAGCATAAAAGAGTCAGTTTTATATCTGAAAATATGAAAAAGACTTAAGATTTAACAGCAGGTTACACACCAAGGGGGCTTGCAGTGTCCTTGAGCTCATGTGGCTTTAGATTTCCTCCAGACAAAATTTCAAATGTGGTGCTGTACAGCTGTCCCACTGCATTATCGAGGAAGATCCACTGCTTCTCAAAAATCACCTTTCTAAGAGAGACAGAAAGAGCAGTTTGTTAGTATAATCTGCATAATACATCTCACTGCACACATGCTTTGATCTGAAAATAACAAATGAACACAAAAGCATCTTATGTGAGCTAATCCTCAGTCTATGCTTCTCGTAAAAATATTATGAACAGCACAAATTCAGTGAAGTATTTAAGGTGGTTAAAATGCTTATATTTTCCTTTAAAGCTGTCAACTTACTTCCTCGGCTGAATCTGCACAGCTTTGAAGATTTCCCCTCGTTTCAACACAACGTAGTCACCCTCTTTAATTCTGTACTGATTATCATCGTCTCCGTTGTCCGCCATAACGAAGCTCATAAACGAGCTAACTAGCTCAGCTGAACGATAAATGTTTTTCTCAGCTAATGATTCGGGGTCTTCGCTGTCAAGGCACAGTTCAAAAAGGCACTACACTACCCTGCATAAATAGCAAAATATCCCAAATTAATATTTCCACGTGTTAGCTTTCACTTCTCTAGCTTCTCAGGACGGCTAAACGAAAGCAGAGTGCTGCTGGTGCCATGCTTCGACTTACTTGCCTGTGATTGGCTGGTTAGACATCGACGAGCTCGCTAGCCAATAGGAGGGTATAGAGTGAATAGAAGTGCGCTAAGTTTAACTTTAGAGCTCAGAACAATCGATATCATGGGTACGGGGAGGGGAAAAGATGATCTTTCCCGAGAAAACGGCTTCATAGCGGGACTTAAAGAAGCATTGGAACTAATAATGTAAAATTATATTCTGTATATACAACGTGTTAATCTTTAGAGAACATTATGTGCAACACGGACGAATTTTATAATACTTATAGCAAATAAGGTCTTCTTCTCGTCATATCTATGCTTTTTATTATCTGTGACAATCACGGTGGTGCTGTTTTTGGATTAAGCTGCCTGCTAACCGGAGATCAGTTACATCTGTGACTAAAAATAGACTCAACATCTTTTTTAAAAAAAATGTTATATTTTGCTGTCACTGCCTTAATGCGTTGTAAAACTACATAGGTATTTTTGTCTTTTGTGTTAAGCACATTGAGTTTACACAGAATGACATATGCTGCATAAAGCTGTTGCCAATTCCAGTTAAATCTGGCAAAATATCTGTATGTTTTTGTATACTATCAGCTTAGAGCATTACAGTATAAAGTCGGGAGAAATCAAATATCACTGAAATACACTGAAAACTATTGTAGTTTTTGCTTTAATAATATGCTGACATTTGACATTTACTGAAGTCATGAATCCCCCATCCAACAAACTTAAAGGCCCATTTCAGTTTCCAGTCCAACGCAACCATGTGGTTGTTCACATTAGTGGAGGACTTGATTGTTGTTCTAATAATAGCATGTAGAAACTTGTAGAAAGATTTTTCCAGATCTGTGCAAATCTATTCCTCTGCAAGGCTTAAGATGCTTCCTTCAGGTGTTTATTTAAAACAAACAGACACTACCTTAACCGTAAAGCAGAGTGGACGCAGCATCAAGTCAGTGATATGTTTTGGCTACAGGATTTTAAAAAATAAAAAATGGGTTTTCCCAATAAACATAATCCCAAACGTACTTCTAAAACTGTGGCAAAATGTTTTGAGGTTAACATATTGAAGTGGCTGTAAAGGCCTGGCTTGAAGGCAAGAGAAGATTTGGGGTGATTGTTGACCAGCATTGTGCTAGTACTACTGTTGGCTGCAGACGGAGGAGGAGGAGAAGAAGGGGAAGGCATGTTCGGAGGTGGCGAGAAAGAAGGATTGTGGAGCTGAGAGTAGGGATTTTGAATGTAGGGACTAAGACTTTCTGATATGATGGACGTAGTTAAGGAGGACAAGCAGAGAGTTGGTTTTAGAGCAGGGGTGGGCAACTCCAGGTCTCGAGGGCCAGTGTCCCTGCAGGTTTTAGACGTGTCCTTGAACCAACACGGCTGATTTAAACGGTTAAATTAGCTCCTCAACATGTCCTGAAGTTATCCAGAGGCCTGGTAATGAACTAATCACTAATGTGGGGCGATCTTGGCTCAAGAGTTTGGTGTTCGCCTTGTAATCGGAAGGTTGCCGGTCTCGGTCGTTGTGTCCTTGGGCAAGACACTTTACCCGTTGCCTACTGGTGGTGGTCAGAGGGCCCGGTGGCGCCAGTGTCCGGCAGCCTCACCTATGCCAGTGCGCCCCAAGGTGGCTGTGGCTACAATGTAGCTTGCCATCACCAGTGTGTGAATGTGTGTGTGAATGGGTGGATGACTGGATGTGTAAAGCGCTTTGGGGTCTTTATGGACTAGTAAAGTGCTATACAAATACAGGCCATTTACCAGTCACGTGATTCAGGTGTGTTGACCCAAGGTGAGATCTAAAACCTGCAGGACACTGGAATTGCCCACCCTTGTTTTAGAGAAAGGATGCAAGAAACAGGGAGGGATGGAAGCGGATAATTCGCTGTGGCGAGCCCTACTGGGAGTGACTGAAACATGCAATCAAAAATGTGCAAGCGATTTGGATTAATGAGACTTGTAGTGCTTTAAAGGATCAGATTGATCAGCAAGGGACTATGAGATATATATATAAGTATCAGTCCAACAGAGCTCATTAAACTCTCAGAAAAAAAGGACCAATTATAAAAACTGTAAGCCAAAAAAAAAAAAAAAGTGAAACAAGTTGCAAAATAAAATAAAAAAGTCCTTTAATTACTTTTTACTTTTTGAAATGAGTACATTTGTGCAGCTGGAAAAAAAATGTGTACTTCTTGAAAACATTAGTTCATCCAGACCTTTGACGTAGTCTTGACATATTTACATCAACAGCGTTATTTTCCTAGTGCGGGGAACATTGGCGTAACTGATTAAAACAAGATATATGATGAAAAATGATCATAGCATTCTTCTCTGGGTAAAAATATATCACTTTATCTCACTGTGATTTGGTATCACATTTCTTCTGTCACTGATGTGGTCAGTGTTTATGGACCACTGCAGCTAGCTGATGAGTGCTCTATTTTCACACTGTAACATAAATGTAAATAAGTGATCAATGCTCTTTAAAAAAAAGCATAGACTAATACATCTTTGCTCATTCTTGGCCTCCGGTAAGTTTATGGAACAGTTCTTCATCTAGTGTTTCATTCTGGTCTTTAGATCGCGTGGAGAGGAAGATGTAACCACCGATGAACTCATGGACTACCTTGCAGTCACAGCTCACACAGGAGAAGGCTATTGACACATGTTGATCAAATTCTATGGTCACCTGTAATTACATACAAGAGATTCAGGATTTAAAGTAATGCTGTCTGTAGATAATACACCAGAAATGTCCTGAATGAAGGAAGAAAAAAAACAATCCCTCACCTGTCTTATCTCCCAGTTGACATTCCACTGCTTCATGTTGGCGAATCTCCATGTGGTGACAGGCAGCCCAGTGGACATGTCAATACGAATCATGCGGTTATATGAAATCCCAAGAATTTCATCCTTCTTACTCCCTTTGAATCTGAATGATTGAAAAATAAGCAAAAAGAAAACCTCTTGGATTATCATTCATAAATGACATTGAACGTCTATTATATCAGTCCTTTCACCGTACCTGACAATGTAGTATTTGATACCAAACTCTGGGAGTGATTGCCATGCTTGGATGAAGCGCATCTTGGCCTCCACCAGGGACAGCTGTGCTATGTTTTGGTGTGCCTCGAGGATACGTGCGGTCAGCTTGATGCAGAAATCAAAGGCAAATTAAATAATAATACTTAAAAAAAAAAAGATAGCTGTCGGCAAAGTAAAATATGACGAACCTAAGACAAACCTGTTTGGTCTTGTGTTTCTTTGCGTATCGTGGCGAAACAAAACACTCGGCGTTCATATCCATCGCTTCGACGTCAGGAGCTGATTGACCAGGAGGGGGCGCCAGGTTCTTCATTTGCAGAAAAGATTGAATGTGCTTCACTTCTGTTTTATAAGAGCTGTACGCCATTGTCTTGCCTTTGGAAGCGAGGACACATGCAGCTTTCCACTTAGCATACTGGGTTTCCTGGTCCAAAGGGAAGGAATAGAATAACAAGGTGTAAAGTTTGCTTCAAATTTCTCATGTTTATATACACAAATATACACAAGGCATTCGTTTTAAAATAAAGAAGACTTACTGGTATTGACAGAAAAAAAGCACAAAATCTCAAAAAGTAAAGATTTTGCTTTGAAAACATTCTCTTTACTTATATGAATGATAAGGTGGGGCTTACATTGTCACATCGGATGTACACCTCATTCATTCCATCAGCCACTGGCAGCAGAAGCTTGATGCCGAACTTCTTTTCAGTTACATTGACATCAGGGACCACCTCACAGCCTGGGAATCAAGAAGAGGAGATGGTAATAATATAAGAATGGATAGATACAACAGATCTCTAACGGAATATTGTCACAGAATATAAGTGCTGTCTTTGTGGCAGCTTAAAAATGTATATTAAAGAATTACATTTTATATCTCAATTTCACATCATATATGAAATGATCAGAATACTTTGGTTCTCTGTTTTTCTAGCCTTTGAGGGGAAATGATCATTCTCATTTGGTTCTCAGTGGGAGACTAACCTTTTTTCCCCCCCCAGCTATGTCTTTTTAGTGCTTGTCTCTATTAATGTAGCTTTGCATATTCATACTTTAACATAATTCTTTCTCATCTTATACTGGGTCTTTGCAGCTCTTCAGTTCATCCACAGCTGGTTTTAGCTCCTCTCATTCCCTCCTTTTCTTCTACTGACTGACTGGCTGCTCCTTGTAAACAGAAGATTTGAACAGCCATGTGCTAGCTATGTACCTATGTGACCATAATAAACTAACATCTGCTCTTACTGAAATCATTACCAACAGCAATTTCAATTAAATTTCATCTCAAATTTATTTATATAGCACTAAATTACAAAAAAACAGTCCCCCCAAGGTGCTTTGTATTGTAAGATAAAGCCCCTACAGTAAAGAAGGTTTTGGGGAATCCTGTTAACTGTTAATTTTGTAAGCCACATGCCAGAATAAAGTCCAGAGCGTTATAAAAATGGTGGGTGGGCTTATCTACATTTTGACAGAAGCCATTGATTCTAATAACAGATTAAATGCAGCGCTTATGATGTCACGTAGATCGTGTTGTTCTCAGCAGCTACATAAATGTTAAAATCCCCCACTATGTTATTTTATGAAAGCAGAGCACAAAATCAGATAAAAACTCAAAGAATTTAGAAAGAAACTGTATAAGGGCCCGGAGGACTGTAGTTATGACAAATAAAACAGTGTTTCTGTGTGTGTTATTTTTTGTTTTCTAATTATGATTTACAAAGCTAAGCGTCAGGCTTTCAAATTAATTAAAACTGACTGGTTCTTTTGTTGATTAACAAGCCGGATTGGCAGATTGCTGCCAGTTCTCCTCCTCGGCCCGTGCTTTAAGGATTCTGACAATTAGTATGACTTGGGGGTGTTGTCATTTAAACTACCATATTCATCCTGCTGTAACCAGGTTTCTGTAAGGCCGAAAAAATCAACATGTTGATTATTATCATTACATTCTCTACTAACAGGGACTTAGAGGAGAGATATCTAAAGGTAAATAATCCACATTTAACACTTTTACTTTTTGGTGGAGTTCTTTCTTTGTCTTTTTATGCTTAAATAATTTGTTGCTGATTCCTTTTGGTGGTTTGTGAGTAGATACAGTCTCCATTAGGATGAGGTTTTGGGGGGATGACAGGAGCAGAGAAGCTACAGGGAGGTATGCTGTGTGAGTCCTGAACTTTTGGTACACAGGATCGCATACACATATCCTTATATATATGCAGAGCTCTTTATTTGAAACAATCGCCATGTTTGATAATGTGAAATAAAGTTATGAACTAAAGAAAAGCATAATAGGGCCCATTTAAATTCAAACTTATTAATAATTTTTTCACATAATTCTTTTTTACTGACCTCGGAGGTGAAACTGCTCTATTGGTTCTCCACTGGAGGCCTCCTTGTTCTTGTAGTAAGAGATGGTGGTGTCCTTAAATACAAACCAGTACTCTTTGTATGGGCGCAGCGTCAGTCTTTTTGGCCTGATTTAGCATTGAAAAAGTACATTTGTTTAAGCAAAACTGCATAAATGTTTTAAAATGTGCATAAAGTCTTATTTTTTAATAACGGAGGCTGCTCGTTCAGAGCAGCAATTCTGAGAGCCTTTCATTAATTATCAGATATCCTCGGGGACATTATAAAACAGGAGCATGAATCAGAGACAAAAACACACAAAATGAATTTTAAAACAGAATATTTTATGTTTATCCAGTACGCCTTTGATCTCTAACAAATGTTGATCTTATAAACCTTAAATTTGGTTATTTAAGGGCAGCATGCACACACATTACTATGATGATGAACGATTACACTTCAATAATTATTTAGCATCTTTGTGCAATATAAATGTAATATATTTAAAGTTGGGTTTACCTAAACAGTCGGAGGGAATTTGCCAGCTCTGGGACATCTGTAATGTCTTCCTGGGGGCAAGACAAACAACTGTCAATTATCCCATGCATGCAATTAGCTAAGGCTTGTCTATCAACCTCAGCTTCAGAGCAGGTATTCTACTGCAACAGAGGTGAAAACATTTGGTTTTTAAAAATATGTTTACCAGAATTTTGTCTGTGTGTCCGGCCTCGAGTGTCACCTCCAGGTTGGATAGGGCTGCCTCTATTTCGTCAATTTCTGGTTCATTAGAGTTGTTCAGAGGTTCAGTGGACACGTTCAGTTTACAAATGCGATACTGTTGGGACAAAGACTTCTGGTTAGGAATCTCAAAAAGCTAAAATTCTGCACTGGGCTTAACAACTACAAGTGGTAATGAAGTTCTCCGACATGACTTAGGAGGTTATGCAAGGCTGGCATGAGTCAGAGGGAGGTTTGAGCACAGCCCAGCGTGCCAGCCTTTGCACCAATGTGTAGGTGAGTGCAGCATTCCTTTTGAATCTGTGATTTCTGAATCACTGTCCCAGTCGTTGCAAAATAATAGCTGAAGTCACCAAAGATGGGATGAAATCAGGACACTCATCATGTTGCAGGTAATAATCAGCTTCCTCCTATTGTGTCTGTTGGGGCATTCTAATTATTACCGTACTAGCTTTTCTGCTACTCTGTCTTTAATTGTATGACTCGTTTCCCTGCCTCCCCCTCCTTTCCTCCTCTTCCACTGGGATTTTCCTCATGTCCTGACATGTCCTCAGATGGATTTAGGCACCCACATCACTCTGCTGTACTATGAGCGTTAAGAAAAACATAAACTGTATCAAAGACTAAAAAAGCTGCATTACTGTGGCCCTGAAGAATTGCATGCCATGATCTTCATTTCAAAGCTTTACCAAAGGAAAGTTTACACTAGTATGCCTTGTTTTATGAGAAGTGTAATGTATAATGACATACAATCTATAGCTTTATAGTCCTCAGGATCCAAATCTGAGCATTTATCCAAAAACAGCCAGTCAAATGAATAAGGAGTAATTTGTTATGTGAAGCATCTTGAAATTTGAAATATAGTTCATTATTACTTCTGCCAAGAAAGTTGTGTTTTTGGGACAGTTGGCATGGCATTCTGTCTGTCAACACAACAAACATTTTGAATGAATCCTGGTAAAACTTAGTATGTGTGTGGAGTGAGGTCATGTTAACAAGCCATTAAAACTCTTAATAGAAAATTGACAAAAAGCCTTATAACTTATTATCAGCATATAGAAAGTGCCATATAAAAATGAACACAATGTGACATGATTAAAACTATTGTCCTCTCCTTCAAAATCAATACATTGATCAGAAAGTGTGATAATAGTGCTATACTGAGCTATTTAAAACTATGTTTCCTACTGATCCTGTGAGTATGAATGACATATATTCTAAATATCTCATTATTTATTATAACTTTGTTATAGTAACGGGTTATAACCATTTAAATACATAAAAAGCTGAATACATGCAAACATTTTTTTTAATGTTTTTTGGAGGTAAAAAATTATATTTATTACTTAACATTTAAACAGTGAAATTAATATTACACACCTACTAAATCCACATAAATAAAAAATAATTATATCCAAAAACTGTCAAGTATACTAAAATGGATTTCAGCAGAGCAAATAACAAAAGCCTGCACGTGGCTCTTGGTTTGGCTGCAAAGCTCTAAAAGTACATTTAAAAAGAACAAAATGTAAATATACTAAATATAAAACTATTCCCCTAAAAAGAAAGTGAGCTGAGTTGGAGGTTTGTGCTCTCCAAGTGCTTCTTGTTATTAAAGTTATTTTATTGGGCCACACAACAGTTTTCTCATTAACCCTGACACTCATCAACCAAACCATCCTCTTGCGAAGGGTAACAAGGGTTACATTTAATAATCTTCCACACGTAGTATATGCAAGCAAACAATAATGATTGCACCACATTTAAACAACTTCAACTGTAAAAAATCATTTGCTTGCTATCTGCAATGGCAAGTTTTTCTCACCTGTAAAGATGCAAACATCAGCATTTCCTCTTCAGTGCAGTCTATCTCTTCCAACAGGATAGACCAGCGGGCCTGCTCATATAGCTGGGTTATCCTGACGCCATCATACTAAAACACAGACACATGCGGTTTTAGGTCAACATTTTCCTTTTTTTGTGTTCACCTTGGATCTCTTACCTTAGGATTGATGTCAAAGAAGACATTGTACTTGAAGCGTAGTAGTAGCTTGTCATAGTCTTGAATGTCTTGCTCCATAAGTGAACGGGATGAGTCCAACCACCTGTTTATTATAACAACAACAAAATCAAATGTTTATCTAGGGAAAGAAATATCTCTCAATGTATAATAATCAGCTTGAGATAGGAAATCCGGTCGGTTTCTACCCTGCATTGTTGACTGCTTTGTCCACCAGTGACAACGGCTGATACATCTTGGCCAGCTCGGCAGGTGGCAAGTTTGTCTGAGATTCTGCAAGAGGATTTTCTCCAAACCAAACGCTGGTGGCAGACATTGGCATCCCATTCTCAGGGTCATAGGTTGCTTTCATGGTCTTACTATACATGGGGCCTAGTTTGAGGGAAATAAAGGGCTAATGATTAGCTAAGATTCAACATATCTTCATATTTATACTAAATATAAAGGTACTGCATTTAAAATCCAAATTCCAAGAAGCCAAAGTTAGAATATAACTTGGAAAAAAAGGTGAGAGAAAAACAAAATAAACTGAGCTGGACTGAAGGCGGAGCGATTTTTAGGATGGTGCAGAGTATGAACTTGGACTCAGAGGAAGAGTGCGAGAGTGGGTGTTCCTGGAGAACACGGCAGCATACTGAACAATTCTGTCAGATCTCACTGTTGAGAAATGTGCCCTGTCAGATCACAGATGCACTACATACCGTGCAAAACTTAAAACTACAGTGGGGATGCTCCATTCATATACCTTGAAAATATGTATGTTTATATACCTTTTTTTCTTTAGATTAAATGCACTTCATGCAAAATGCAGCACACAGAAAGTAATGAATCAAATGCACATATCGTTGTAAACAGCACCAATTCCCTTAGATAGGCTTACAGAGTCTTTCAAGGCACATGAAAGACCATCTATTCCTATTGCACATCTTTTTCTTTCAGAGTACCTGTTCCACTTGGTCCCCCACTGAGTAAATCTATGTCCCAAATCTCCTCCTGCTCTGAGTCCTTATCTTTCTTCTTCTTCTTTTTGGAGGCATCATCCGGAGGCTTCAGCAGTGACAGTTCTTCTGGTCTTCTAATGTCTGAAATGGTGCAAAGCAGGAGCAGACAGGAAGAATATGGGAAGGAACTTGAACCTTGAACTTAGAACAGTGAATGAGGCATTCAAAATCAGAGCTATAATAATGCAGGAGAGAGCAATCAGAAGAAACAGACGCTTACTGAGTATTCTGCAGATATCTGTCACCGTCTTGAAGACCACATTGGAGAAGCTGACGGTCATTTGGATGGTTTTCATATTGGGAAGCTGCAGTAGCAGGGGTTTATGCTGGGGTGTGTAGCGCAGCTCAGCATCGGCCTGTGTAGCAAAATGAATTGTATTTATATTAGCTTCATGTTTACACTTCTGCTTCCACTATACATGCTTCCCTTAGGCAGCATCATTAGAAGACATAG